TAGTAGTGTGACTAAAATTGCCTTTAGTGTATAAAATATAATTATTGTGATATATCTATTAGAAGGAGAATTTAAATTTTTTAAGATATAAAGCAGTATCTGTTTCTCAGTCAGAGCTTCAGAATTTGTCACAATTGCAGTGCGCTTGGCCATGTCAGATACTGAGGCGCAGCCGGCTCCCAGCAATTTCCTCTACTGTGGCCATTTCCCTGACTGCCTATAGTTTTTCTATCTCAGGTGGACCTGAGGCTGCAGTGGGTGACCTCTAAGGCTCTCTCCTTTTAACTTTAAGATTACACAAGCCTACTCCAAAGTCTTCCTTGTAAGGCTTTATGTTAACAAGAAAGATCATGGTTTGCTGCCTTCTTCCTGTTTTTTACCTAGCAAATTACTTCCTGGTATGTCTCCGAAGATCTGACAGCTATATTTTATCTCTATTTTGCCATCAGTCACAGTATCTCTATAAAGGGAGACAACTTTATTTTATAGATATGGAGGCAGAGGCCATCTGAGGTTAAGTGCTTTGTCCAAATCATATATGACCTATGTAGGACCAAAAGCTGAACACAGCGGCAGGCATCTTTCTGCAAACAAGAGACAGGGCTCAAAAATCAAGAAAGTTTCAATCTTTGTCTTTCATTGGTATGGTTTTGAGTATGAGTGTGTGTTCGTATGTGAGTGTTTGAGTTCAGAGATTGTATAGAACTCAATTTTGCATTTTAAGTACCCAGCACTGTGCTGAATACGACATAGGTACTTCATCCATTCATGTGTACCAGGAATGTAACCTTCTCTAGCAGAAGATAGGGGCATTTTCATTTTTAACCTTGTGGAACTGATTATTCTCAGTTCCTCTGTTGCCACTCACCTCCCCCACCAAAGCCTGAAATCTCCCCATTATTACCAAATACATCTATAGAACGCCATTATCTTTACCTGAAGCTGCATTGTGGGAAGAGCAAGGATTTTGGAAGTAGAACTGCATTTTAATTTTGGGGTATCTTTTCTAACTTTTTTATGCTTCCATTGAGTCTCACAACAACAAATACAGCCACTGCTACCATTATTACGGATGCTACTAGTATTTATTAAGCACTCACCTAGAGCCAGGGAATGTGTTAGGATCCTGCATGCATCATAGTATTGAATCTGCACTACATACCTGGAAGGCAGGTCTCATTATTGCCATTTTATCCTGGCTCAGAGACATTGAGTCTCCTGTCCAATGTCACACAGCCAGAGCTGGGAGAGGGGTAATGAGCACTTCATGGTCAGCCCTCCATCAACAGTGGTTATTAAGATAATGCAGGAGGGCTTGGGGGCACATAACACACTGAGTGCAAAGAGTCTTAATAGCAGTAAGTTTATGGGATTCATTTCCTCCCTCTCTGATAACAAAGACAGCATAAAGGTTGTCTCTGCTTGAGGGGCTAGGAAACTTAAGAATGGGTTATGGGTGAGGATTTGGGAAGTGATCACATTGTTCCGAAATTAAAATTGTCCCTTTTGAGAATGTACTCTAACATTCAGCTATGGGTGTGTATGACAGTGAGGAACACGAAACAGACTAAGACACGTTTTACCAATTTCACAATTTACCCATGGTGTATCCCGATGTGCTATATAGGCTTGACTATTACAAAGAACAGGATAGAACATTCTTCCTTGCTCTGCCCTTAAGAGAAATGTGTTGCTGTATCCCCAGCCTTCGGGCGAGTGTAGCATCCTGCGAGGTTTCAGCGGACAGCTGCCAGAGAGAATCATTAACACCAGCGGTGTTATCTGCTGACACGAAGGACAGGAAGACACTTACAGCCTAGACTTGGCTTCTGGCCTCTTGTTCAGGCACAGCCGGGCAACCTCCCTGAGACACTCTCGCTTACTCTAGCACTATTTAAATCTCTAGTGTGTTGCTGTTGCCTTCAAGTCTATTCTCTCTCTAATCTCATTTCTCATTTGTTTACCTCTCAGGAACTGAAGGAACAAGAAAGGGTATAGAGCAGGGGGTGTTAACCAATCTTGAACCAAATGTCTGATCTCTCAGAAAGGTGAGAGAAAGACTCCGACCCTCTCAATTTCTTGAGGCTTCAGGTAGATTAAAAAGTGAAGTACTGTATGCCTAAAGGAGGCTAGCAAAACGTTTGCTTATTTATTTATTTTTTAACAACTTACTATAATAAACGAACATTTTAGCACAAAAGAATATAAAGTAATACAGCTGTGCAAAGAATAGGATATTTGCAGTGTAGTGTTTATTAAAAAATGCAAATTCAGAGTGCTCTTTTCAGGTCGTGTGGTCTAACCATGAGTCACAGGCTAGGGCTGTCTGGTGAATGCTTTATTTTTTCAATCCTCAGAGTGCTATCTCTGCGAGTGTAGGTGTAATCTCATTTCACAAAGAAGGTTTATAGTCAAAATGAGCGGATTGCTGGGAATGTGAGTCCCGGCCCTGTGGCCTCCCTGGTTCCTCTCTTTACTCAGCCTTGCTAAGAGGCTCTGCCCCTAACATGGAATGCAAACCTTTATGCTTGTGTGTTCATTTTCTAGATTTTCTAAGATTCTCCAAGCAGTCCACTCTCTAAAAAAGGTTGTGAACTATTTGTCTCGAAAAATAGCTTAACCTATAAAACCCAAACCAATGTACAGAGCTCCTGATTTTTTGATATTCAGAATACTCCTTTTTTAAATTGTAAAATTCTTTAGGCTTGCAATGTAACTTAATATTAAAAACTCTTTTAAATGACTTGATGTTTTTTGTTTTCAGATGTGTAGTAATTTTGAAATTCTTCTTCTCTCCCTAGCCCAGAATATGTAAGGTTATAAACAGGACAATGATCATACTGAACAAGCAGTGGTCTAAACCTCACCCTGCTGCTCCATGGCTCTGTGACTCCTTTGAAATGCTTTCCCTCTCTGGTCCTCAGTTTCTGTAAGATGAGATGACGATTTCCGTTTCTCAAGTTCCTTTTATCTTTTAAAAGGCAATGGTTTTTCTTACTCCCATTCTCTACTTCATGCCAAACTGTCCCCAGAATATTTTAACATCTATTTTCCAAAGCTATTGTCATGGTGCACTGGCCTACTCTGTTAGAAAAAAAAATTTGCTTATTTATTTATTTTTTATTAGTTTCAGGTGTACAAAGCAATGCAATAGTTATCCTTTTCACCCCTACATTTGCTTATTTTTAACTACAACCAAACCCAATACTTAATAAATTCAGACTTATTTTTTTCCCTTTACCTGGTGGCAACTAAGTGTTTATTTTGTCATTATGGTGAAGAGCGTGTTTCCGGTAATACGCAAGCCACTATAGAAACTTTAAAGAAAAAAGATCTAACTTGCGGCTAAGATAAGTTGCTGGATACAGATCTGCACTGATAGCTTGGGGACAGTAGATGGCGATATAAGTGCATCAAATAACAAACATTTCCTTGCTTGGTCCTGCATTAAGATCCCAATGATTGAGGCCAGAACAGGTTAATACGTTGGTTAAAGAAACAAAGTCAAATATAATCAGGTGTTGGACTGATAGCTAATACTCCGAATGTGTTCGGTAACCTGATACTTTATTGAAAGAAAAGATTGATAAACTAGAAATTCATTTATCCTACTGCTGAGTCTATCGTCAAGCTAATTCTTAGAGGTGGGGAATTGGCAATAAACACATGTATCCCATAAAATGTATCTAATTCATACTTTCCATTTTTTGGTTTTTATTTTTTTTTAATAGCAATTGTTTGGGATGGAGTGTGCCTCACATATATTATTTATAGATGAAGTACTATATTCCTATTAGGGATGTGAGTCCTAAGACACTGGTGTTTTAAAGGGGAAATAGCTGACTTACTGTAAACTGTTGGCTGGGCCATTATTGACTGGCAGGATCAACTGGAAGCACTTTGTTAGTGGATTAGGTTGCCCTGGAAATGCCTTCCTGAAACTCTAATGATGCACTTAAGGGAGTCTGCTGGGGCAGGAGTAAAATGTCTCTTAGCAGGCGTGCCTTCCACCAGAGTCCCCTTGGGATGAGTGGGGAGGGGGTGGGGCACACCCAAGGAGATGCTCAGTAAGGCAACAGCCCCAGAAAAAGGTTGCAGGTTACAGTTCCTTACAGGTAAGTGAAGATAATGGAGATAACGACTAACTGGTGTAAACTGTGGGCTTTCTGAGGGTACCAGTGCTTCATATAGTCTTTTGAAAGAGCGTTATCAATTCCAGGGAGACTGTATTTATTTATCATTTATTTCTTTGCGGGAGTGGGGTTGGCAGAGGGATGAAGAAGGAAGGGGAAAAAAAGAGGGCATTTGAGAGAACATGGTTTAATCCCCTTTGATTAAAAAAAGCTCCTTTGTAGCTTACACGTTGGGGTCATTCGGTGTGCTTTTTATTTATTTATTTATTTATTTATACACGCTTTAGAGAGGAAATTTGCCCTTCAGCAGAAATTCAGTGCATGTGCAAAGGGTTTGTTTGTAGATTTTTCAAGTGAAAAATCACTTGGGTTTATCTCACCACTGGGTTGGGGGGTTGTTTCTGGGGAGGTGGGGGTGGGGATGGGGGGGTCTCGAGACCAGAGGAAAAAGAGCAAAGCGAAGGCCCTTGGAAACTCCAGACTTCCGGACAGGGCAGGGAGGGAAGTGGCTGCCCGGTGCCGCGTCCCTGCCCCGCCCCAGGACCAGAGCGCCCCGGAGTCTCGTGTCCACGGCTGGCGCGCGGCGTCCCCGTGCTGTCCTGGCGACCTGTCACTGAGGAGGACGTGACTCGGAGCTGCCTCCGCTTTCTCCAAGCTATATTCCTTTAAGATGATGTAATAGTCATTTCCCTGGATGGTTTCTTGCCTGCACTGCTGAAACAACAGCAGCCCAACTGCGCTGGGAGCTGTGGAACCACCCAGCTCCGCCGTCCGCCGAAGCCGAGCCGAGCCCCCGCCGGCATCCCTGCGCTGCGGCGGCGCCGGCTCCTACCAGCGCCCACCGGCTCCCACCTGGCTGGGAACATGGGAGCCCGTTCGCTCTTGCTGGCAGGTGGGGTGGCTACCTGGGACCCCAGCAGGGCACCTCTGTCTTCCTTTCTGCTTCTGGGCTTTCTGAAAAGCTTCTAAGTCCCGGTACCTCTGGAAACTCTCTTCCGTTTTAAGGATTCTTGCGAAAGGTTTGATTTTTTTTTTTTCCTGGCGACGCTTTGGTTGAATATTTTCTCAGCTTTGCTTCTTCAACCCAATCACCTGTCATCACGGTTTAACTTTTTTGTGACTTGTTTTAACTTGAGACTGGCAGTGAATATATACATACATACACACATACACACACATATACATACAAGTATACACTTATATAAGTATATATAATATTATTTTCTAAGAGCAATCTTTCCGGCACTTTTCATTGATACCTCTGTCCTTTACCTCTTTGGGATTTGACAAGCTCAAGGCTCAGTGTGGCTGTGGATTCAGACTGCTTTGCAAATGGGTATTTCTTCACAAGACTGGGTTGCCAGCGCTCATTAAGGTAAGTTGTGAGGCTTGTCGATTTTCCTGTTCAGCTGGGGGAGGAAAAATCCCTTTTTAGAAGTTGAAAATTGCATATTCCTTTTAAATGCAGAAATGCAAACGAAAATGTTTTTAATCCTAATTTCTGGCGGCAGGGACATATGGATAAACATGTAGACACAAAATAGCTTGCGAGAAGCTAGGATTTAGTTGAATAACGGCTGAAATCAGTAATTCCAGGGCTGCTTATGTAAAATAATCTCTCCCTCCCTCCCTCGCTCCCTCCCACCCTCCTTCCTTCCTTCCTTCCTTCCTTCCTTCTCAGTCCCTTTCCTCTCTCCAGTGCTCTCTCTTTTTCTGACTCATGCTGGGTTTGAGGAAATAATTTTCTTTCTTTTCCTTCAGACAGACCTCTGAGTAACTGGGGACTTGGCCTGCCTTGTCTACTGAGCCTGGGGGAAGATCGAATGGAGATGAGTTGATTATATTCCATGAAGTAATAGCTCACCACCACCCGCCAGGGTTTAAACTACTTCACCTGTGGACTCTTCTCAATTTTGCTTTCTTGGGGGGGAAAAAAACCCCCAAAAAACTGGGGTCAGAGGAGGTCATTTTTAACAAGTTAGCATCCTTCTCCCTCCCTGACAAGTTGATGCAAAGGATAAGGCTGTGACTCCACTGGATTGCACCTTCATAGCAAAATAGGAAGAGAAGAAAGGGACAATGGCTCTGAGTGGAAACTGTAGTCGTTATTATCCTCGAGAACAAGGGGCTGCAGTTCCCAACCACTTCCCTGAGGTCGTGGAGCTGAACGTGGGGGGTCAAGTTTATTTCACTCGCCATTCCACATTAATAAGCATCCCTCATTCCTTCCTGTGGAAAATGTTTTCCCCAAAGAGAGACACGGCTAATGATCTAGCCAAGGACTCCAAGGGCAGGTTTTTCATTGACAGAGATGGATTCTTGTTCCGTTACATTCTGGACTATCTCAGGGACAGGCAGGTGGTCCTGCCCGATCACTTCCCAGAAAGAGGAAGACTGAAAAGGGAAGCTGAGTACTTCCAGCTCCCAGACTTGGTCAAACTCCTGACTCCTGATGAAATCAAGCAAAGCCCCGAGGAATTCTGCCATAGTGACTTTGAAGATGCCTCCCAAGGAAGCGACACGAGAATCTGTCCCCCTTCCTCGCTGCTCCCTGTGGACCGCAAGTGGGGCTTTATTACTGTGGGCTACAGGGGGTCCTGTACCATGGGCAGAGAGGGGCAGGCAGATGCCAAGTTTCGGAGAGTTCCCCGGATTTTGGTTTGTGGAAGGATTTCCTTGGCAAAGGAGGTCTTTGGAGAAACTTTGAATGAGAGCAGAGACCCTGATCGAGCCCCAGAACGATACACCTCCAGATTCTATCTCAAATTCAAGCATCTGGAAAGGGCTTTTGATATGTTGTCAGAGTGTGGATTCCACATGGTGGCCTGTAACTCCTCAGTGACAGCATCTTTTGTCAACCAATATACAGATGACAAGGTCTGGTCAAGCTACACTGAATATGTCTTCTACCGTAAGTGCAAAGGGCTCTTTTTATTTTTCGTGTGTATTGATTCTCTTTACAGATGCATATGGTCTGCATGTTCAGTTGATGTCTAAGGAATGCTATTTTGGGATTTTCTTTTTTTTTTTTAACCCTTGAGGTATAGAGCATTAGAGGTTATAATTCAGCTCTCATGTCTTACCTAAGGCAACTTTTATCTGCTTTTCCAGTGAAGTCAAGGAATATTAAAAGGCCTCAAAAATCACAAGATGCAAATGATATTGGTATAGGTGATATGTGTGGAATGAAAGTAGACAGGTATGTCTGTTTGCCAAATATTGGATTGTGACGATAAGGCAATTAGAATTGGGCTGTTGGTCCACGGAGTTTGGTAGATTCAGAGTGGATGAAGGGCTGCTGTCTTATTTTATCTGAACTTTGGGGTCTATGAAGCTGGTTGCTGAAGACGTGCTTTCATCGGGGGCTTTGAAAACACAAGTGGATGTTGTACTGAGTGACGTGATCTTGGCTAGATGGCAGTAGAGACTGACGAAAGACCCCCTTCTTCCCCGACTCCCCAACCCGAGTCTGAAATGTGCTTTTATAGGCTTTACGAATCAGCTGTTGGAGCCTTTAGCATTTTGTACTGAGACTTGAGTTGCACTGCAGACTTAATTAAGCTGAGCTTCATTTAAGATCCATCTAAAAAGAGCTAGATCCTTAAGAATTGTCAATCACATGCGAACATCTAGACAGCTGAGGTGATAGAATTGCTGACATAAAAGGTAACCAGGAGGAAAGAAGGAAAGGAAACTATTGTACAGAAGCTTTTTGAGTAAGGGTTTCTTAGAGGTCAGTCCACTTGCTTAAATGACAATTTATGGTACAGATTGCCTGTTTTTTCGAAATGGCATTATTCTAGACAAACTATAATCCATTGACCTGTGAACACAGACCAGTAAATCAGTCTGTAAAGTTTAGGGCTTGGTTTAACTGCTGATATTCAACAGGCCTGGGAATTGGGATGCGAATCCCTTAAGACATATTTTTCCAGTATTAACCTTTGACTCCTTCTATTCTTATTTTAAGGCAGACCTATACAGTTAGGGGGTTAAAATGTCTAAATTTCTTTAAACATCAAGGTACAAATGAATTTCTCAGACTGATTTTTGCCTACGGTCGTGCTGATTCCTTTGGAGATGGTGCCAGGAACTTGGTGAACTGGCCAGTGGGAAGCAACTTATTCCGTACTGGGTTACCCCACGTTGGGGTTTAGAAGTGAAGACACATGGACTGTGTAGGAAGGACAGCCTAGGGAGAAAAACAAAATCAGCTACTTGTTCAGGAGCATATCGATGTGTGGTAACAAGCATGATTTGGCCCAATGACCCTATCCGTGGCCTTTATCTATAATCTATATCTTCCCGTGTGCTGTAGCTCAGTCACAGATACTGCTTTCTTCCTTCTGGCGAATTTCCCACTTGCATAGAGATAAGACTCTAGCTTTTTAGCCTTTTGTAAAGGAATCTGACTTTATCTGTGATTCCATAGAACAAATATCTTTTCCTCACTTTTTGGAAACAATAAAATGCACCATAGGGAGAGTTCCAATCTAGCTTTGTGATATTTACCTTGTTCTCCTATTTCTAATATTTGAAAAAACTTCAGTCAAATAAATGAGAACATACCAACCCCCCCCCACCCTTCCACCCCCCAAAAAAGACCACACTACATTTCTAATCACTTGCTTACCTAAGTGAGACCCAGAACCTGACATGCCTCAGTGATATTTCTGGCTTTATCAAAGACTTATGTGTCTAACACTGTGCCCCCTGGAGGGGCTGTGTTCTCCTGATGGGGTGACTGCTCCCTTCTTTGTTGGACTGCTGAGAGGTTGCAGAGGGGCAGCTTGCCCTCCATCCCTCTATGGACAGGCTGGCATAAACGCACAGCAACTTCATATCGCACAGCATATATGCTGCATACGATAAGCTTCCCCTCTGTGCCCAGCATCTATGGCTCAGTGTTAACTCTTCCTCTGTCTTAGGACCAATAAAACCGACAGCTGGCTTTCTAGGGTGCATAACAGCTTCTGTGCAGCTGCTTAGCCATAATTATTTAATTAGAAGCTGCCAACTGTGCCTATATAAGCATTAATTCGTCAAAATGTTGTGCCTGGGTTAACGGGCCAAAACTATGGGAGGCGCTCTAAAGCGGCAGCGGACTGCCTGCCGATCTTTGGCGAGCGAGCGAGCGAGCGCTAGCCCCACTGCGTGCAGCCCAGAGCCACGGAGTCCCCAGCCACTATGTGCAGTGTGGAGCAGAGTGCTCAGAGGGTAGGAGCTGCAGCCTGTCGGACTCTAAGGAGCAGCACACAGCTCCAGGAGTGTGCCTGCAGCCTCCAAAACCAACCAACCAACCAACCAACCAACCAACCAACCAACCAACCAACAATAAAAAGGATGTTCGGTGCATTGGAACTCAGCTTCCTCCTAGTTTAAAAAAAAAAAAAAAAAAAATATATATATATATATATATATATATATATATGTGAGAGAGATAGATATGGGGGGGAGGGGACTCCATAGATCCAAGAAATTAACTCCAAGCAATTACACTCTTCTAATAACCCAGGGATAATGCAGTCGCTTTCCCTGGATCCATATCACAGTAAAAAAATAAATAGCAAGAAGTTAATACATTGCATATGGTGGTTGACAGTCGTAGGGAGAGACCACTTCTTCCCGTTTGCCTAAGTTTGTTTTTCAAGCTTTCCAAGGGGAAATTGGGAAACTGAAATCTCTCCATCAAGTATTAAGTGATTAGAGTCTTGCCTCATTTCATCTTCATGTAGACCTAGAATTGATGATCACCCTCAGGTAGTTTGGACTGAATGTTTAGTTACCATGAACCATGAACAATTAAAGTCAACAGGTGTCTGTATGTATTTAAGAGGGCAGTAAGAACTGTGTCTGTCTATATGGCTTACACATCAAAATATGGTATGTGAGATACTATGGATTATGATTCACTTAGTAGCAACCAAGAAAATGTGAGTGATACAGGAACACAGGAAAGAAATGCCTGTCCTGGGAGTACCTCACAAATGGTATTTTAGCTATGTCGTTCGTTTCAATTTCAGTCAATGAGAAGGTACCTTTCCTTCTTTCCCACCCAACTAGCTAAATAATTATCTCTCTTCAAGTGTTGTATGGAGAAGGCAATGACATAAACATCAGAGAATGCCTTCTTGATTCACCTCTGAATGAAACGGGGAGCTAAGTAATTTGGAAAAGAGAAGTTCCGATCCAGACTCAATAGCTATTCACACCACTTAGAAACAAAATCACAGGTGCATGGAAATAAATGAACCACTTATTTAGAGCCATTTCCCAATGCCTGAGAAAGTGGGGAGAGAATTATGCACATTTCCTCAATCCTACTCATGAGTGAGTTGCTTCAGACAAGTGCCTGAAAGCACTCCGATTGAAAGGCATTTGCCTCTAATAAAACTGTGATAACATGTCCACAAGTAGGGAGTTTAATTCATAGGATGCTTATTTTGAGTTCTGTGGATTACAGATAGAGATGCCAATTCATCGCTTTTTCAACAAATGGCTGCATGTAGGTGTGTTTGAACCTTTCTTCTCTTTACCTCATGTCCTTACATTGAAAGGGCTGTTGCCACAAAAGTCTCTAAATTGCTTTATGTCCACAGTATATATCTTCAGGGCTATTGACTGAAATGGGGTGATGGAGAAAAGCAAATTGGGAAATGATTTATTACATAGAATTTGGCTGCGTGACTTTGGATTGAGAAGGGATGTTTGGGTCTGGCCACTGTGAATAACTTACCCAACATGGACTTCAAAAACTTCAGTAAGTGAGTGTTGTTTTTATAGGAGAACAGGCGGGAATGCATCTATCCTGAAATGGTTCCAGCTCTGTTTCTCCTGGTTACTTTGAAAGGTACCAATGAAAACATCAATCGTTATTGCGCATAGAGCTATGGTGTTGGTACATTCAAAATGAAGCAACGGGACGGTATTGTCAAAATGGAAGGTTTGGTCTTTAGCACCGCCGCCATCTCCTTTTTCTGTGCTGATTCTCTGTCTTATCTGCCTTGGATGTACTCTTTCCCTCCTGTTTTAGTCATTCCTGCTTTCAACTTCTTTTCCTCTGTATTATAATCAAGACCTGTTGTCAGTAAAAACTCTGTTCTGTGATTATATTTAGAATACTTTTAAGGCACGGCGTTACTTTTCTCAGGGGTTTTTGTACAGAAGGAACCTTTGAATAGTTGTGGCTCAGGAGACTTTGTATCCTGAAAGTAGTGTTCTTAGACTTGAGGTGTCTTAATTTATAACTAAAAAAACATATAGCACAACTTAAGTGTAAGGCTTTCTCATGAAGTCAATTTAGACCCATGTTTGGGCAGATATTGGATGGTGATGGTGATGGTGATGATAAAGGGCAGTGGTGGTGGATGGAATATTTTCTTATCCCTTGAAGATGCTGTGCTCTGAGCCTTGGGCTCAATACAACGGTGGTATAGCATGTTAGTAAAATATTGTTTGCTTTTTCATGCCAAGCAAGATGTGTTGACTGAGCCCAATCTCTTGTGGAAGGCAATTCAAGTAGCCTCTTCCTAGGTTTGTGGCCTCACTGAATGATTTTGGCAGCAAGAGAAGTGTCAATATATGGACAGAAAGGGATGTCTCTGAGATTGCCCCCAAATGCCTTGATATGTTAAAAAATATATATATATGTACAACTGGAAAGAGAAGACCAAATGTTACTGACAGTCGAATGAGGTTTGGATCTTATCAAAGGAATTAGAAATGGAAATAGCAGATAATGTGCCACAAAGCTCCATTTGGAACCCCTCCAAACACAAACGATGGAGAGGAGTAAGTGTTAGGAGACAGTGCCAGTCCAAGGCGCAGAAAGCAGCTCCTTCATAAATTGATAGATGAATGCTCAGTTTCTGCATTGTAACTGTTGCTCTTTTTCTTTGGTCTTTGCTATAA